GGGCGTCGGGCCTGGGCAGCGCCCGCACAATAGAGCCGAGCGCCGGGCAGGGGGCGAACTGACCTCGCTCCCGATCTGCCACCACCCTAGTCACCTCTGTTGATCTCGCTTCTTCCTGCCCCCTTTCCGTCCAGCGCACTGCCCTCTCGAGTCACCCCTCTCCTGCTGCCCCATCCCCAGCCACCCCTTCCCTCTGCTTTCCCCCACCCGCTTCATCTCCCTAGCCATCTTTCTCTGCCATCCTCTTTTACCTCATTCACCAGCTCTCCTCTGATATTTCTGTTCCCTCCCCACACTTGCCCTGTGGCCCGTTGCTTTACACCTGGCAATCGCCAGGCTTCCCCTCCTGAATAGCACCTCCTGGTCCTCTGTAACTGCTTCCCACCTACCACCCCCTTCCCCAGCACTCTGCCCTGCCTCCAAATAGTGAGCATGAGGAGGAGACTGCCCCAGCAGTGAAGAATAAGGAGCGATCCCGGGGTGTCTTTTTGGGACTGCTACTCTCTTTTCTGCGCCTCTCCTTTGAGGGGGGCCTAGCCCCCCACCAACCTCCTGTTCCTTTAGGTGTCACAGGCCAGGGTGGTGGCTGTGGTGTGACAGGCGGCAGGATGACCGACACCCGGCGGAGAGTGAAAGTTTACACGCTGAATGAAGACCGCCAGTGGGATGATCGAGGCACTGGACATGTGTCCTCTGGCTACGTGGAAAGGCTGAAGGGCATGTCCCTGCTTGTCAGGGCAGAGAGCGATGGTAAGTGGTGTGAGAACATGGCAAGTATTGTAATCTTTTTCCAATCCACCTACAAAAAAAGATAATGGCTTTATATATCTGCTTTGTGATTTTATCTGCATAATTTGTATGTGATTCTGAAATCGGGCAGTCAGCAGCTATCGTTAACTCTTGTTAGGCTATATGACAAGGTTGGAAGATTAAGACAACACACTCCCACTCCTCAGGTACACACTTGATGCATATTGGACACACGGACATAAAGCTGTATACCACATACAGGTAGTACACATTTCACACACTATATTGCACACCACTATCCCATTTCTCCCCCTCCCCAAGATTTTTTTTCCCTAAACACTAATTGGGATCTCTTGTTGAAATAATTGATAATCCCAAGATTAAAGAAACTATTCACAGTTTGGATTAAATGTGTTGAACATAAAATATTAAAATTATTTCATTGTTGTTTCTTGTCTATTCAGCTTTCTGTAGGTGGGTTGCAAATATATTTTTCACTCTTTAGAAGTGTATTAAAGAGTATTTTATAATGTGTAGATAGATACTCGCAGTTTTGATTTCAAGACAATACAAAGAACAAAACAACATTTTGAGGATATTTTTAAGCAGCTACTGTATTCTGCGCTCATGCTAAAACTGCCCTTAGAATTACCCCTGAAATAATAAATTCACTTAAAATAAAGCATATCACCTGTTTTTCTCTCACTCCAAGCATGTTTTGCTACATTTTGATAGGTTTGTGTATGAACTATCCTTGATTACTTGATCAGTGAGTTAATGATTACTGTAGATTAAACTTTGAAGTATAGCTGGCTTCATTTAACTCTGGTACCATGAATGTAGTCTGTCCTATCTCATTTAACCATATAGTTATGTACTGGGTGATGTTTTTCTGCCATTAGCTACTTCCTGGCTTTCTATCTTACATCTGGGGAGGGTGGGTCATTCTTGTAGATTGCTGTTTATATTTGATTGCTATCTCCCCTATGTTTATTTGGTTTTCCTTGTGCTGAAACTGAAGGATAGAAAACTTCATTGAGGTCAGTTACTTAGTCCAGTCATTGTAGAAGAGGAAGTGCATGTTTTCAGGAGTTATCAGGAAATCCTAAATTGATACAGTAAGAATCAAATGTAGTAAGTTGATTATCCAAAGCATGTTTAAATGCTAATTATATTGACTTAAGTCTTTTAAATTGCTAAATTATTATTAATAAATTATGAAAACTAACTATATAATTGATTTTTTACAAAGAAGTTGGAGACCTGTTCTCCCCATTCTCTTCTGCATGTCTTATTTCTTAGGTTAGATAAACTCGAGATGGCAGTGGACCTTTATTATTAAATTTAAGGGTGGTGGGGAGCCCAGTGAGAAGGAGGAACATCACCATTATAAACAGGTTTATGTTACAGTGGTATAATTCTAGCACTCACCATCACCACTGTAGCTTTCAGGAGCTAAATAAATTAATAAACTTCAACTGAAACTTCAAATGAAAGAACGATGTTAAAACACCAAATGCAGTAGTAGTAGTGTTTTAAAAATACAATGATCTAAATAGAATTTTTGAGCATAAAATGCTGCAGGTTGTAATCTGACTGTGAAGAAGCAGTCTGTTCAAAGGACACAGTCTTCCACTGGTTTCAGTTACATTTGCATATACAGATTTATTTCAGTAGTTTCATTGCTGTAAATGAGCTTGTATAAATCTATTAAAGAAAATGGAAGTATGAAGTATTGTAAGTGTTACTTTAATGTGTATCTAGGAGTTACTGAATTTTAAAGATTAGTTATCCATAACTTTAAAAAGCAAACCAGCATTTTTAAAAATGAATAACTGAATTAACATACAATAATTCCTATAGCTTTCATAAATCTTATACCATGTACAGTTTATACAATTATTAGTTAACAATCCTTTTAGAAACTTAGATGTTTTGATCACTGGGCCTAATATATTAATCCTTTGAGGCAAACATGCCTTTTGGTAATTGTTTTTCTTATTCTTGTCACTATTTTATCGGGTTAATATTCAGTTTTTTCGGTCAGAAGTCAGCGGCTAGGATAGTTCAAATTTACATGTAATGATTTTTTTTTTAATTTGGGGTACTAGAGTATTAAATGTTTGTAAGTGTGAACAGTTATTTCATACCCAAATCAAAAGTAGCAACAGATTGTTATACGTCAGATGTCTTTTATAGCGCTCAAGTCCCTTGTTCCTTCTTCTTTTCCCCTTCAGCTTTTCTGTTGAACTGCTTTATTAAATGTAGGGATCAAAATTGACTGTTCTTGCATCTTCTTTCCTTGACGTTTCTTTGGCTTTCCATCATGTTTTCTAATGCTTTCCTTTTTTGAAGTGTTTCCTTCTACAGTTTGGGATCAGGATTCAGCTTCCTCCTCTTGGGGTAATGGACCTTATTTAATGGCTTACCCACGGAAACAGATAGACCAGCAATCAAGAAGTGAGTGGGCCACATGAGTGACCCTCCATCTCAGTGGGCTGCAGCAGCCCTCAGCACTCCTGTCTGCTCTTTTCCTACACGCGCACACTGAAGCATCCCACTTACTTTCTCCTCCCCCTCCCTCCCAGCTCTTTGAGAGGAGCTGCAAATCACCTGATTCTCACTCTGTCCCTGCTCTTCCCCCTCCCTCCCAGAGCTAGAACCCTGAACAGCTGATTACTAGCATTCAGGCTCTGGGAGGGAGGAGCATGGATAGTGTGTGAATCAGGTGATTCATTGTGCTCTGAAAGTGCTGGAGGGAAGGGGAAGAGTAGGAAGTGCGCGGGAGGCGTGTGGGACAGGAGGAAGGCCATATGGTCTGCTGGCTGCGGGTGGAATCCAAGTGGGCTGCATGCAGGCCACAGGTTGTCCACCACTGTGATAGAGAATTCTAAAACCTAAATTTGTCTAAGGGAGAATGTAACCAACACATTTTTTTTATCTGTGACCTGGTAGGATACTGTAACCATTTTGAACAGATGGAACATAATAGGGATGTTAAATATTGGTTAATTGAATAGTTGAGTAACCTCATGAATTCTTACTGGTTGAATGCAAACTGGCTCCACTTCCGAAGAGCCGCCTGCCACACCGTACTGCTGCCTCTGATTCAGAGGCAGCTGCGCGGGGTGCCAGACTGGAGCTGGTCTGCAAGGGGAGCCATTTTAAAAAACAGCTCCCCTCACGGGCCAGCTGCCTGTCCCCACATGCTGCTGCCTCTGATACAGGGGTAGCAGCAGCCCCTGTTGGGAGGGAGGGGCAGGGAGAGGTAAGTCTTGCTCATGCTGGGTCCAGGAGCTCAGAACTGAGCCGGGCTGCCGGCCCGCCTACCTTCTAATAACACTTTAAATGCAGAGTTGTACTGGGAGTAGGTCCCAGACCCATCGCAAGCTATGACTGAGACAGGCTGCTGGTCAGTGTGCTAAAAAAATTTACTAGTGGGGGGGGAGGAGGGGAGGGTGTTGGGGAATTCATGTAGTCTGTAGCATTAACCTATACTCTTTTGCTTATCGGTTAATCAACCACACTATTACATCCCTAAAACATAGGAATTGCCAGACCAGGCCCATGGTCCATATAGGGTCAAGTGTCCTGTTTGTGATCTCAAGTGAGTTTAAGAATCCCCAGTGTAGACAACTGAGAATAAGCTGATATACAGGGGATGTTACTGTACCTAGTTATGTAATGGCTTATGCTCCAAACCATGAGGGTTTAGATCTCTTAACTGTCATAAATCCATCTGTTGTACTTGAATGATTTTGTTGTCATCTGTGTAAATGTCTAGACCTTTATTTGGATTCTGCAAAACTGCCCCTTAATGGTACCTAAGTGGCAATGAGTTCCACATGTTGGCTTGCTTCTGCGGAAAAAGTTTATCACAATCCAATTCTAAACTTCATGCTTTTAGTTGCACTGCATGACCCCTTGTATTTCTGTTATTGGACAGTAAAGAAGTGCCTAATTTTCACTCCTTGTGTCATTCGTTACAAATATCTGTATCTTACCCCTTCCTAGTCACTTTGATGACTTGAATAGTTCTGTTCGTTGAAGGACAACCTTTCCATGCATTTAGATCAGTTTTTATTGCCTGTTTTTTAACCTCCTTTTATTTTTGTGACTGGAACTGAAAGCAATACTTAAGATGAGTATTCTATTCACTTAATGACATACATATACTTTGAAGATTTTAGCTTCCTAATAACTGAATTCTGCACCCCAATTAATTCTGTACAAGTTCTCCAACAAATACCATCTTCTTCTCACTCCAACAAATGAAAAACCATGTCAGGAGCAAGGTCTGCTCTGCCTCAAAAGCTGTGCTGGCACTGATGATGTCCCTCCACAGAGTTAGGAAGACATCATTGGTTTGATTTATACTTTCTTCCCATTTGGAAGGTTTTTGTTATGACACAATGGCTTGAAAGTATTTTTTTAAAAGTAAAGCTTAGAAGTCTGCAAAGTTGACTACACTTACCCAGGAAAGTTTGGTATTCAGTATTAAAGAACTGATGCTCTTTCCTGCCGTCTCACCACTCTCCCACACCTCCATCCAGCCTCTTTAGGTTGTGGGGGGATGCAACCAAAAAAAGCATAACTCAAAATGGGAGGGATTCAGCTCAAAAAGTTTGAAAACTATTCAGGATGCAGGGAGAGAGGTATCTAGAGGCTGTATACTAGGAGAGAATGGTGGCTACAGAGCTGTATGATATGGTGTTTATTTCCCATGGCCTCTGCTCCCCTGGAGTCAGGTTTCCTTGAAGTAGGCAGCTCTTACCAGCTTCATGAGGGTGCTTGGAGCTGAGGAGCAGATGTAACCCTGAATGCCAAAGCTCCCTTTCCATGGCAACATCAGTCAGAGGAGCAGCTTCCCTGCACTGTCTAACTCTGTCTTTTCGCCTGTTACCTGGCCATAGTGTGGGATGAGAATAAGGCTATAGCTGCCCCCAGGACTGCTCCACTTTCGGTAAGGCACTACAGTTTGAGGAGGCAACACCCTTGCC